GGCCTCTTGATTTACAAATAATATAAAGGTAATATGAGTGATACAAATATGATATATAATAACTAGGTGGGGAGAAGCTCAAACTACAGGGCATATCAACATAGTGACAGTGCAAAAAGTAAGATTGACTGGGAGTGAATACACTGGTTGATTACAAGTTATTGATAATTTTTACAATGGTTGTGACTGGGCTGTTCTTATAGCGATCAGTTCGTGCTCGTATGGGCTGGATGCGGTTGTGGTGTCGAACAGCAATTCTCGGGCGAGGGATCTCAGGTGGTAGTAGGAGCCGGTGTCGAGGATGGTGCAGAAGATTCTCACCAAATTTGCAGATGAGGTCGTGGTGATGGTCATTGAGAGCCGAGAGGGTCAGTGTGTTCAGCGCTTCTTGATATGTGGAGTAGGAAGGGGAGAGAATAATCTTGCATGCTCTCTTTTGCACTTTTTCTAGGTGTTTACGTTGTGTGGCATTTGGGGAGGAAGACCAGGTAGGGAAGGCATAGGTGAGCTTGGGAAGTATGAATGTTGAGTAAACACTGAGGAGCTCGGGTGCAGGAACTTCGAGGGACTTGAGTCGGCCGAGGAGGTGGAGACGGAAACTGGAGGATTTGACAACTTCACTGACATGTGGTTTCCAACTTAGTTTGTTGTCTATGGTGACGCCGAGGAGCTTAGTGGAATCTACAACCTGGAGTGTGTTGGGACCTAGGAAGTAATGGAAGGAAGTGGGACAATGTCGGAGGAGGTTGATGCGCATAACCATGGTCTTGGTATGGTTGATGGTGACGTGTGGTTGTTGGTGGCCCAGTTTGGAGACTGTTCAATAAATGTGTGTGTTACGTGTGTGTGTGTGTGTGTGTGTGTGTGTGTGTGTGTGTGTGTGTGTGTGTGTGTGTGTGTGTGTGTGTGTGTGTGTGTGTGTGCGCGTGCAGGGAGCACCACCTTTATACATACACACAGGCAATACAACTACAGTAACGTACACAGAACAACGAGAATTAAAGTACATACACGGTACAATACACACACACGAACACTAGAATGTATACACCATAAATGAAAAAAAACGTAAAGAAACAGAGAGGAAAATAAAGTCATGAATAGCGAAAACAAGATAAGGCACTCGACCAACTCTTCAGTGCCACCCTTGAGTGCCACACTTTTTCCACACCTGCCCTCACCCTTCACTCTCCTGTCCATCGTCCTCAGTAGACCGAGACTCACTACACACACACACACACGTATACGTCTCTCTCTCTCTCTCTCTCTCTCTCTCTCTCTCTCTCTCTCTCTCTCTCTCTCTCTCTCTCTCTCTCTCTCTCTCTCTCTCTCTCTCTCTCTGTCTGTCTCTCTCTCTCTCTCTCTCCTCCATTAGTGATCAGCAACACCTGGGATTATATATGACAGCTGGGTGACTTCGTGGACAGCAGCTGGAATCTTCAAGTTAGACAGCTGGGTGACTTGTTAGAATACACGTGATTAGTAACACGCTTGTCCACGTCGATGACCAGTCTGTAAAAGAAAGATTTGCGGCTGGATTAAATGAGGCTCACAAGTCAATTATTTTTTCTCCATTACGTTCATAATTTATAGTAGAATCTCAAAGCAATTTCGACGCCAGTTTGACGATTGTGTTTGTATCGTGGTTTGATCAAGGTAATTAGATATGCAAGCGTTTGAGAGACCCTAAGACCAATTAATGAAGAAAATCAGGTAGCTAAGTTTTCACATCTCCAGTTACTTTAAACAAATAAATAAATAGTGTGGAAGTCATTGAGGATTCAGGTCCTGTTTGCTACGACGCCAGATACTTGATCATTTCGGGTCGAGTCAGCGGCGGGGGAGCTGATTGTGGGTTTGTCTGAGGCCGCACACTGTAAATATACCCCACCTATCACACCCACCCACCCACCTAACCCACCCACCTAACCCCCCCCTCCCACCTCACCCCACCTCACCTCACCCACTTCCCTGGGCTGATGCTGAAAAAAAAAAACCTGAAGTAAAATATTCATCTATCTATTTTCACCACTTGTTTTGGCTATTTAATTACTTATGTACTTTATTTATTCTTTATTCAATTAATCACATATATGGATAAATAGTTATAAATAGGAGTTTGATCTCTCATTATTATGGACTAGTGTGATAACTAGTCTTGTTATGCTATTGAAGGCATTAGTGGTTGAGGCGCAGCAATAACATCATCATAACGTCAACGAATACAATAGGTGAAGTTATTATAATTGTTTATCTATCATGGTAATGTGTTACAGTAAGTGAGGGAAGAGAATGAGAGAGATTACCCTACCTTCAGGGGATAGATGAGGGGAGAGAAGGGGATAGATGAGGGGAGAGAAGGGGTTAGATGAGGGGAGAGAAGGGGACAGTTGAGGGGAGAGAAGGGGTTAGATGAGGGGAGAGAGGGGAAAATTAGGGGTAGTGTACTTATATAAAGTGAATACAAACACGGCCAAGACTTATTAAATACAATCATGCAGGTGTGTACAGCATTACAGTGAGGAGAGAGAGGAGGGTTATGGGTTGATGAATGGAAGATAGTGAAGAGGAGGAGTTATAGAAAATGAGGGATAAAAGAGAAGTGAGGAATGTGAGATTACAAGGCAGAGGGAGCGGGTAGATTAAAGGGATATGGAATGAATGGGGAGACAGTAAGGAAGGGAGGACTATGGGAGGGGAAATAATGGGGACGACAGAGGAGGGGAGGGGAGGCTAATGGAATAGGGGGAGGGAAAGGAGGGGAAAAGAGGAGTGAGTGGAAAGATAGTCTGTCTCTTCCCTTGAAATAAATCGACTGTGTTAATTCTCAAATGATTAACAACTATTTTCTAAACTTTTCTTCCTCTCGTGTAAGCTTAAGACACCCTACTGTAGGCTGAACCAACAACACGATCATAATAACGATTTGATAGTGAACCCAATGCTACTATGGTGACATGTGGTGAGATTAAGACACGTGGGATCAGTTTACGACACGGCAGACATATGGTGCGTGAACTTACAATAATATATCCGAGTTAACGATACCATTCAGTTATTTACGGTAATGTTATTATTTGTTTTATTGAGGTCTACCATATGTCGACTACACAGAGCTGAGAGATGAATCACCTTATGCTGAGAATAACGAAAGCTGAGAATAACGAAAGCTGAGAGTAACGAAAACTGAGAATAACGAAAGCTGAGAATAACGAAAGCTGAGAATAACGAAAACTGAGAATAACGAAAGCTGAGAATAACGAAAGCTGAGAATAACGAAAGCTGAGAATAACGAAAGCTGAGAATAACGAAAGCTGAGAATCACGAAAACTGAAAGAAGAAAGAATAAAAATAGAGATTAATTAACCAAAAGATCCGAAGCCTGGGGTAAAATCAAATTAATAACGGAAATAAGAGAGAGAGAGAGAGAGAGAGATAATAAACACAGATGGGAATTACGAGGAGGTGATAAAAAACAGGGTGAACGCGAGAGGGAAATAATTAAAAAAAAAAAATTCAACTCTACACCGAGAGAAATTTGAGCCTAATTACCTTAAAGATAACGCATACAAGGGGCTGAGTTATGAGACACAGACCCACGAGTTTGGGTTATAGCGAAGGCAGAGATGGTGGGGAATATAGAGAGAGTGTGGGAGAGGAAGGGGAGAGGAGAGGTAGGGGAGGGAGAGGAGAGGGGGAGGTGATAGCAAGTATACAATGGGCCGTAGTGGCAGTACTGAAGAGGGTTTTTTTTTTTTTTTAAGCCTAGCTATTGTTAACTCCTTGGTGGGGGGTGGGGGTGAAGTAAGGGGGAGGAGGCGTCAGGAAAGAGGGGAGGAGGGAGAGAAAGAGTTTGGAATGAGGGAGAGGAAGAGTTTTGAGAAGTATAGGGGAAAGAGATTGGTGGAGAGAGAGAGAGAGACGAAAAGTTTGGGGAATGGAAGAGGTAGAAGAGGGGGTGATAATGATGAGGAGAGATATTATGTGGGAAGAGAAGGAAACGGGGAAGTGGAGGTGAAGGGAGGGGATATAGAAGAAGTGGAGGAGAGGTTGGTGGAGAAGGCAAGGAAGGGAAGTGGAAGAATCTCCAGTCGGTTTCAAATCTGCTTCTAGTATTTCCTTTAATTTATTGTACCTTTATAATCTCCGTTAACAGGTCCTTTAAGTCTTACATAATGCCGTTAATAGTTGCTTTACCTGTCAATGGGGACGCCAGTAGTCTAATAACCTACCTCTCTTAGACGGTCCTTACCTGTGGACTTAGAGGTTAAGTTGATGTTAGGAAACTTGCTTTTATTTACATGTTTACATCACGTTGGTCATGAGTTCTTTGGTTTCTTATATTCAGTTTTGATCTGTTTGTTGGGCTTTAGTTATTTTTAAATTGAACAAAATTAATGCTTGAGGAATAAAATATCAGTTTTGATCTGTTTATTATAATTGTTGTTGTTTCAGATTACTGTTTTTCCATAAGGTTTCGTTTATATTCCACATTTTCATTGTTGAACTTCTTACTAGCATTGTTTTATTTTTTATTATAAGTATCTGTTTTGCTTAATTTTATAATCATCTTTCTTTAACATTTATTTACATTATTTGTTTATTTGCTTCATTATGACTCCTTCTGTTATGTTTAGTTAAGGGTAATATCTTATTTTATTCCTGTTTTTTTCATTTATCTTTGTCCTTTGACTTTGTTTGATTTCATTTTCTCATTATTAATCTTTTTTTGTGTATGCTAATTTTATAATCAACATATTAATTTTTTTTCTAAGTTTATATATTATTATTTTTTCTGTATGTGTGTTGTTAATTTTGTTCAGGTATTATCATTATTATATACATCTTATCTTTAATATTTATTTGTATGTCACCTTGTTTCATCTATAACATCATCAATATGTGTTTTATACATGGTGTTTTATCGCCATTATTTCATACGCCGTGTTTTCTTTACCTAACTATCTCAAAGTAATAAGGGTTGGTAAAAAGACACAATATTAGCTTCAAACTTAAAAATTTAATCATTACACATGAATTTTCAATATTTTTTACAAAAATATTTTTCTTACAAACACGGTTTTTATTTTCAGGCATATTATTTATACTCCATCAATAAATAAAATACAAGAGTTCTAAACAATGGATAAATCAGAGTCGGTCAGTCATATTATCAGACCTTGTAGATTGTTTTTTTCTCCTACTGCCGCCATGGTGTTGTGGTCCCCGACATACTATAACACAGTACAGTAGATAGACGTGTCGGCAGTACAGATCGCTACCTCACCAGTCTCATTGATAATATCACTGAGTATGTGTGACGGGGTTAGTGCCTCTGACGCTGCTAAGACTACCTCAACAGAAGTTCATTTCACGAGTTTTGACATAAAAAAAACCACTTACGTTTAAGATATATAAAAAAAAAACACATCTTAAATATACATGTTAAATAGGAACACAATAAAACATTTACATGTCACTAGAATATAATGTAATTTACATAAGAGAAAATGAGATTTTACTCGTTATGTGAATATACGTGTCAGAGTCACTAAGCTGGTCACTGTAATACTGTGGTACTCACACTACTCAGAACTCTTGGATAATATTATTAATCATACATAAATATTCATCACACACGGATGCTACAAGGCTCAGGGGTCTGTATATTGCTCTCTCTCTCTTTCTCTCGTCACTGAATATATAAGCAATTCATTGACAATAAAAAAATCAATAAAATGAAAGCAATAATTCGGGAAAATCTCACATAAATAAAAATGTTGATGTGAAGTATGTGGAACGTGGTGTTGGGAAGATAGATCACATTAGAGAGATGCTCATTAGGTGGACACTCTTCATACACCCTGTGGCAATATGACCCCTAGCTGTTGCTCCCATAGTCTGACCTGTACTTAACCACTGTGGAAAAGGAACTTTGATATGATTGCTTGATATCGTTTAATTTTTATTTCAGTTCGCAAAACATTCCTTTACAAAATGTATATCATTGATCTTAGAAGCAAATCAGATCTGCATCGAGAAATGAGTAGAAATTTTTTTTAACATCTCGTGATAGATTTAACACCGGGTATCATTATCATATTGTATATATATATATGTATATATATATATATATATATATATATATATATATATATATATATATATATATATATATATATATATATATATATATATATATATATATATTAGTATAGTATATCTTCCATATTCAACTTTTTTGGCAATGATTACACACTTAGGTTCAAAGAAAATTACAGGTGGCTACACATCCGGTCTCTGATTATATTTGATAACATTACAGGTGATATACAGGTCGGATAAAGTTAGCGGCACACCTCTATTATACTCATTTATAACACTACATTGTTTTTCCTGTATAAATACTCAAGAACAAGCTTGATACACTTCTCTGCCAGGTCTTGGGGACAAACACGACATGTGGAGACTAGACAACTGTTTAAATACACGGATCATCGCGCCATTACAAACACTACCTTCTTCATTAGCCATCACATTTTTTTTTGAAAAGTTTGTTATATAACACACACCAATAAACTAGCAAGGGGCCTCAGACGCGTATGGTACGACAACTGGCTCGGGTTATGTGGTCGTAATTCCCCTAAGAACGAATGATCACTGAAAGCCATGCGTGGAAAAATTCCTTAATGATTCCAAGCGTAAGAGCCTGGATAATGCTTGTAAGACCTACCATGTATTTAAAGGTGTGTCGTCCCCCACATACAAGAGAGAAAATGATCCTATACAGACTTGACTTGCATTGTTTCATCAGTTGCTTCTGAATTTTTCCCTTTAACATGAGAAGCAGGGGAGGATTATTGTTGTAATGTAGGTGAGAGATTTCTGAAATAGGTTTGGAGTAAGGAACAGAATGCCTTCAGTCTTAATTAATAAAAAAAAAAAAATAAATAAAATAAAATAAATTTGCAAGCCTTGACGTTGTCTGTCTTGCTTTATAACTGTGTATCATCTAGGAGAAGCGAGTGAAGTCAGCCTGCATTACTAAGGGAAAAATAATAAAGGAAAAAGCTGCAACACAGAACTCTATAACCTTGAGAAACATACTAGTGTTATTAGTGTGGGTCTATCGGTTAATTGTGTGCTATCACAAAGTCACCGCAGTCATCGTGGCTGGCGTGAGGCACTCTTGAGAGAGCTCACCCAGAACTCGTTTATTTTTTTTTACTTATTCTATCTCGAAAAGGCAAGGTCTATTAGGGGGTTTTAAGGGTCACTTCCCCTTAACCCTCCCCTAAACGACACACTACGTGCCTGTAAAGCTGGCTGTGCTGTCGGCGTATATACGAGGCAGGTGGTTAAGATCCTTGGAAAAACACGAAAAAATAAACGCACTCAATAAAGCATCAGATCTTTCCAGAGAATCATCCCCTCGTCATGTTAATTAAACAGTTTATTACATTTAACAATAAAATTTTTTGGCTGCCGTGCTACAGCGTGGACGAGCTACAGGTACAGTCTACAGGATCACGCGGCTCACTACCTACACCATGACTTAAGCGGATCACCATAATTCGTTACCAACCTACAAATTGTTCATGTGTTCTTATGACACTCGAGAAGCAACACAATCATTGGACAAGATTATTCCCAGAGTGACCCTTGTTTAGTGCCGTGGCCGTAGACGTATTTGTAACATTGTTGACACAATGGTAAAATGACCTCTAGGTCAGAGACTAACATAGGTGCAGACTTCTTTGGTCTCGTCGCAATACATAGCTGCCTTAGTAAAAATAATAAACAAGAAGCTTTATACAGCACAGGAACTCGTGTAGAAGAGAATTGTTTTAGAGGGTCGTTAAGGAAAGAGGAACGAGGCATTACCTTCAATGCGATAACCATACTGGAAATAAGAAGTTTACTTGAAGAACTTGACAAGTTGGACGTATACATTAGTGTATACCCAACAATAAGTTCCAATTTTATGCACTGTTTTATATTACAACATAAATACGATATACTGATGCACCTGGCGGGCGCACAGCGAGGCTAAAGGTTGACTTAGAATGTATTATATGCGAAGGAAATATCCTTTTGGAGGTGGAGCGGGAGGCACAAGGCGTCCACGGCGTGATGGTCACTCTCTCTCCTTGGTACTTTAATACTGCAATATGCATTACACTGGTGTATCTCTGCTAGGCTTTAGGATTATTTTGATTAATATTACTCGAACCTTGAAGAGCAAATTTTCATTTTGATGAACACATATCGCCGATGAAAGGCGATACACAAATGTTCAAAATGTTAATCTGAGGAGCCGTGAGCGACCCCTTCCCCCAGCGCACGATAAACACTTACAGAGACCATATTGCTGACGTCAGCATTTCCTCTATAAACAAAAATGTACCAATAGAGGGAAAAGAGACGTGTAATGATAAATATCATTCACGGCGACATAAAACAGAAAAAGGGGGAAAAATAGTATTCTATACGATAATTCCATGACTCGCAGAGCCTAAGAAAAGATCACTTCGAAATATCGAATACATTATCAATAATATGTTCAGCGGATTATTTATAGCACCAATGGATAAGATTATCGTGCCGGCTTAGTAGATTTGGGAAGTTGAATTATCAGTTACAAAAATAAAAGCAAAAAGAAGAATGTGTGAACAAAAATATAATTTCTCGTCCTTCCCATATCTAGTACATCTCCCGGTCACCAATGAGGCTTAGCCGATCAATAAATATAATAAATAAAAGTTCCATATTCTACAAAAAGCAGGCAATGCGACTAAAATTAATATGTACACCCAACAAATTATGGGTACTAGAAGTTCATCTCTGGAATGTAAGGGCTGAAGGAAGGCAAGTGGAACAAGGGGACACAAGGAACTGAGGAGAAGTAGGAGGACATGGACGTAAGTAGGTGAGAGAAGAGGAAGAAGAAGACTGTTGGCTTGAGTGGATGGGTCGCCGATCCTCTGGGAGAGTCTCAGTTGTGCACAAAGACTCTACCATCAAGGAAGGCTCCTGGTGTAGCCTATGTGGTAGTAATAGCGTGTGCGACGTTCAGGATGACGTAGGGGAGGGGAGGTTCGAAATACTCAGGATGTAAGGTAAGACAGAGAGGAAAGGCCGTGTCACTGGGGAGACAAAGGGGTGAGGAGCAGCAGAGGAACTAGCACTAAAGAGTTACCAGAGTGCTGAGGGGTCAGAGGTCATCGACAAGTAACTTAAGGTCAGACTTTTTCCCTTTGCAAATTTTAAGGAAATATGACCTCGCCTGACCTGTCGCTGAGGCGATATCTTCACCAGGATGTGTTCACTGGTCATCACAATAGTGAGTGTGGCGGTGCCTCACGGAGAAACCATAGTCGTCTCTAAATGCACTACAGAGGGACACAGTATAAATATGACTAAAAAATAAGAATGTAGTTGTCCTTATGGCGACTGAGAGGCCACGATGGGGAAACTGATTTATAAACAAATCCCGGGAGGACAATGATGCAGGTGAAGAGGGTGATGGGTGATGAAGCTATATACAAGATGACTCACTACGATGACGACGACAGGGCTTTGGTAGTTGGGCACTGATGCTGGGTACTAAGCCGTGCCCTCACTCACCTCCACGCCCTGGTTTGGTCACAGGTGCCCTCTCCTGGGCACCCATTGCCACCCACGCCAAATTTTTCATCTCTTGACGGGGATGTTGGTCGCGGGTAACGGTGGCGACGTGGTTCATGAGGGCACGGGCGTGAACTAGGTAGTAGCGGTTAGCCGTCGCTGGCGTCACAACGTCGTTGCATGACTGCCTTGGGAGGACGTGGAGCTAAACTCGAGTCTATCCTGCGGCCGAGGAGTGGGCGGGAGAGACCCAGAGCTGTGCGAGGACCCGACTGACCCCAGAGAGCCTACGGGCGAGGTGGCGCTGTGGGCGGCCAGAGAGGAAGGCGTGGCGGCGGGGGCGCTGCGGGTGGAGATAGACCGTGTAAGAGCGTCCTTGGACCGGAGCATGAACCACGGATGCTGTAGAATTTGCTCCAAGGAGGGACGGTCACCCGGCTGCACCTGCAGGCACCACCGAATGAGTCTCTGGCACTCATCGGAGACTGGCAGCCGGAACTGTAGCCTGGCCGACACGATCTGTTCCTCGTACTCGAAGGGGATGTCCCCGAACACCAAGTCGTACAGCAGGATGCCTAAGGACCACACAGTGGCCGGGACCCCCTGGTACTGGTTGTGTATGATCCACTCTGGAGGGGAGTACACCTTTGTTCCTGCAGAAGAGAAAACAAATGGTTAATTTTCCACACACATAATCGCTTATTTGCTTACAGCCAAGTAAGAAAAAAGCATGACACACACACACACACATGTTCATCCTTCACAACATCATACAAAACAAATAAAAATAAATAAACTGAGAGCCATCCCTCAGTAACCTGTCCACAAGAAGAGATTAAATTAAATCTCCCACACCCCAAAATTTACAAGCCATGGACGTGTCAGAACAAGTTTTAGACAAGAATTATTCATGACGAGAGATCCCCTCTTGGTGGTCCTCGGGGATTCCCCACTATAGACCACGAATTCTTAATCAGCAGCTGTGTCCTTGTATGAATCACTGAAGGGTCTCTCTCTCTCTCTCTCTCTCTCAAATTCAGACTCGACGCTATAAACCCGAGCAAGTTTATAAGATAAGAAAGAATAATTTTTGCCTTGTTACTTCACAAACAATATGAACGGAGACGGAAATGTGATACTGCCTTGAGATAAATGTTGCAACAAGTTTCTATCAGTCGCCATAGTTCCTCCTGCCAGGTACCCCCAATCTTACACTATCAACAGGAAGACCGCCACCCACCCTCCACCACCCACCCTCTACCACCCACCCTCCGCCACCCACCCTCCACCACCGCCCTCCACCACCGCCCTAGAGCGAAAAAAAATGGATATTCCTGTAACCATCGACAAAAAATAATGGTGGATGGAGAGAGGAAGGAGAGCGAGGAGGAGGGGAAGAGAGGTGGGAGGGAGAGAGGAAGGAGAGCGAAGAGAGAGGAAGGAGAGATCAGAGGAGGGGAAGAGAGGTGGGAGGGACAGAGGCGAGATTGGAAGAGCATTACACTCGCACTCTTTCCTCCCTCTCTCACTCACTCACCTGTCTACTAATTACACCTGGCAAATCATAACTATATAAATAAATCTTGGAATCGACAGTGAGAGGAAAACTTCTCGCCGCTAGTGCCATCACAACCAAATGTTCTTTTCCTACCTTCTCCAACATCACTTTCCCCACCACCACCACCCAGTCACTTAAGCTTCACCATCAACTCTACTATCTCCTCCCTCACCACCATCCTCACTACCTCCTCCATCCTCCCTCACCACCACCCTCACTACCTCCTCCGTCCTCCCTCACCGCCACCCTCACTACCTCCTCCGTCCTCCCTCACCGCCACCCTCACCACCCTCACTACCTCCTCCGTCCTCCCTCTCCTACCTCCTCCGTCCACCACCCTCCTCTCCTCCGTCCTCCCTCACCACCACCACCCTCACTACCTCCTCACCTCCCTCACCGCCACCCTCACTACCTCCTCCGTCCTCCCTCACCACCACCCTCACTACCTCCTCCGTCCTCCCTCACCGCCACCCTCACTCCTCCACCGTCCTCCCTCACCACCACCCTCCCTCCTCCTCCGTCCTCCCTCACTACCTCCTCCGACCTCCCTCACCGCCACCCTCACTACCTCCTCCGTCCTCCCTCACCACCACCCTCACTACCTCCTCCGTCCTCCCTCACCGCCAAGTCCTACGGTGCCACACACAACCACGTTCACCTTGCCCTGGATTCGTGGCGCGGAGGACTATGAAGGGCAGCAGGAGCAGTGCCATGAGCCTGTGGTGGTGGGCATCTGACACAGCAACACAGCTGTTGCCGCCTCAGCCAGCCAAGATGTAGATACTAATCCCTCCTTAGACCTTCTTCTTTTTTATACAGCAAAGGGATTTATTTTGTGTGTTAGTTCAGTCCAACCATAAACATCATCACCAACACTATACACACATACACACCACACCCTCCCTAACTCACCACAACCCGCCAGCTCATCACAACAACCAACGCCGCCGCACCTTGCCGCCAGGTGGTGCGTCACATGAAATGCCGCTGCGGCAAGTAGGTCGACGATGGCATCTGAGCGGCGGCAGTGGCACTAACACTAAACAGCTGTGATTATAGTTACGATCGTTTACTTTTGTTTGTTTTGTTTTTTCACCACAATTTGGTGATTCTTGAAATATGTGATTTTTTCTTGTACTTTATAAATTCCCAAACGTAATTGTATAACATTATAGGTGTGGAAATGTCAATACACACGAGACTCGAAGATGGAACACGAGAATGTGGAAGGAAAGAAGTAGATAAAGAAATGCGCTATCTGAATAAAGAAAGGGGATGGGAGAAAAATAAGAGGCAGTGGAACATTAAATGGGGAGGAGGGATGGTAGATGGGAAGAGGGAAAATAAATTTAGAAGGAAAATGTAAGTGTATAAAATAGAGAAGATGAAACAGGGAAAGAATTGGGGGAAAGGTGGAAAGCGGGGTGGGTACGAAGGAGAGAGAGTACAGCTACTCTCTGTGATTACTTCCGGTTGTGGAGCCTACCTTAGCAATTAGTGGAGGCCCCTAGACGTAAGGAAGATTAAAGTAGCCCGAGGAGGGGGGGGGGGGATATAAACCCCCCTCCTACCCCCCAAAAGACAACGTAGCCCATAAATAATCTGATCACACCAAGACATACTACAGAAGCCTATTTAATATAGTCTAAACCTACTGAAAGTTACCCAAAGGCTATTCAACTCCACATCCAAATGAGATGTCTTTTCAATACCATCTAACCCTAAATGAAATCGGTCACATTAATACACAGCACGTAATCTTAAGCCTGAGTGTATTCTGTATATAATCGAGGACTTTTCTAACCATCATCACCTAATGCTACACATCTCACTCAATTACACACACACACACACACACACACGAGTTCACATTCAATAACATAAAATCATTGCTGGTCTTTCCTCTCTATAAGTTATAATCACCAGCTGGGTTAAGAACGTTATTATAAACTCAGAAAAACACATTCAATTTGTCCTTTAATAATTATGAACCAAATATACAGCACTCTCTCTCTCTCTCTCTCTCTCTCTCTCTCTCCACGAAAATTTACAACTATCCCATAACAAATGACAGTTACATTTTCCAAACACACACACACAAACAGGATCAAACAAGGAAACAAACAAACATCCGTAAACAAACATATCATGAAAGACTAAAACAGGTTTTTCTCTGACTCACTGAGTGTGTGTGTGTGTGTGTGTGTGTGTGTGTGTGTTTGTTTATCTGGGCGTAGGAATTCGATTTGTTTCTTTATTCTTTACTTGTTCTTCTATCCCGCTCAGTACTATCACTTACTCGCACATTACATAACTACAGTTCGAGTGTGGTAGAGAGAGAGAGAGAGAGAGAGAGATAAACATTATGAAGAAAACAGAAAAAATGGGAAGTCTTACGAGAAAATAGGAAAATAATAAGAAGTCTTAAGAGAAAATAGGAAAAATAATGCTAAATAGTAAATAGGAAAAATAATAGAAAATGGGGAAGTCTTACGTCACAAATTCCACAAAATCATCCCAGAGGCAAAAGATAAACAAACTAACTCTACGGGTTGAGATTTTAAATGGCAAAAGGGGTTTAATTGGACTAATTTGGCTTCCCAACCCTTTCCCCTTTCTCTACCTATCTACCCCCTAAAAATCATCTCTCTCTCTCTCTCTTCCATCTCCAGTTCCTTTTCTACCGTTATCTAAGTCTTTCTTTTACCTCCCCCTCCTCCTCTTCCTTCTTCGTCTTCTTCTATTTTAATACCTCTTCTTTCTCATTACGACTTTAAAGAGGACCTGGTGCCTTGAGTGAGATCCTCTTTACCACTTAAGAAGAGCTGATGAAATCCTCTCCACTATCTCAAGCGACTTACGCCATAAGTCACAACACTCTTACGCATTTACGCCCGTCTTACTGAAGCACGATTATGTGGAGACAGAAATCTGACGAGGAAGAGGAGGGAGAGAAGCGGAAGAGGAGGAGAAAGAACGGCCAGAGGAAAAAGAGGAAGAAACAAGAGATGGAGGAGAAAGAAGATGAGGAATAAAAAGGAGGAGAGGGAGAGAGAAACAGAGAGGAAAAAAAGAGGAGGCGGAAGAGGAAGAAGAATGAGACTAAAATGAAAATGACCAACATAAAACAGAAAAAAAAGAGAATATGAGGGAGAAGGAAGAATACCAAGAAGAAAAGGAAATAAGAAAATAAGCATAAAGAGTTACAAGAAAAATTACGAAGAAGCAGATAAGAACAGTGTGTGTGTGTGTGTGTGTGTGTGTGTGTGTGTGTGCGGGAACCCATCAATAACCAGTAACCACCGCCAGTCCCTTCACGCTCTACTTGTCTTTGCTGTCTGTAAGTTCGCCTGTTCGGCTTCCTTAGGCATTACCTCCCCCCCCCCCTTACGGGGGGGGGGTAGGGGGTGAGAGAGAGGGAATTTGAGGAAGTGTGAAGGATGAGAAGTATACAACTACACACACACACACACACACAGCTCCGCCAGCCAACACACCATGTAACTCTTACAATTTTGAGAGAGAGAGAGAGAGAGAGAAAGAGAGAGATAGAGAGAGAGAGAGAGAGAGAGACCACCTTACCACTGACGGGTGAAGCTCCTCGTCCCCCGTCTCACTATATATAACCATAACCACCCGCAGTGAACATAATATATCACAACCAAACTTACTGCGTCATATACCAAGAGTGGAAGTCAAGGCAGTGAGTACTATTAATATAAATGTTAATGAACGCCTTGAGAAGTGAGCCCAAGTGATGATAATAGTGTGAGCGACTCCAGGCCAAACTTAGCAGACATGTGTGTGTGTGTGTGGGTGTTAGTGTGTGTGTGTGTGTGGGTGTGTGTGTGTGTGTGTGTGTGTGTGTGTGTTTCAAGGAGGCTGACAAAGATCACCATTGCTTAATCTCAAAATCACCCCCAGAAAGGAGTTTATCCCAATCGCTCTCTCCTTCGCAGACAGAAGTACAATACACAAGCACACAAACATACACACACACATCTAGTAACAGGTTCACAACACCACCAAAACAATATTGATCACATGTACACACAAAAACGCACTGTGGTTATTCGGTTATTCAACTTCACATTTTTATAACACAGGGAATTTTATAAGCTTGTTATCATATGCGAGTGCCCGAAAGAACAATGGAATGAGGAACTTATATATACACACACACACACACACACACACTGCAAAGACTATACAATAATCTCTGGTACTAACATCAAATTATTTATAAGTGTTTGTACTATTTTACGTCTTTTCTCTCATCTCTATCGACGACTGAGTAAACTGACAGGTGTTATTCAGTCGAATCTGTTGCTGACCGAAGTAAGTGGTTCAGTTAGGGCCGGCGGTTCCCCAGTCTGACCACTTCCCCAGTCACATACTTTCTCCCCAAACACGGTGACCTAACGATGTGTGTGTGTGTGTGATAAACCAGTATACATGGATGTGAGTTATCACACTAGATACACATGCAAACCACCCTCTTCTTCCCTCCCTCCCTTACCTTGCTGTACCTGTATCTAAGACCCATCTTTAACACACAAGCATATACAAGTAGACATCATCAAATGTTTATATATCCCACACCCGCCACGTAGAGAATCGTGCCAATAAACGGAGTCTTACAGGTTATAACATGAAGAAAAACATTGAAGAAAACCCAAGAGAGACAAGTAAATTTGGAAGGAAAAAATGTAAGTTGCTGATGTCAACTACTGAAGACAAAATTCTGGTACCGAACTCGATTACGACAGGTATGACGTCATTGCCCGACTTAACCCCCCCCCAAGTCAGTTGTCGCATAGTAACAAGATGATGGTGGTGGTGGCAAGGCTAGTGATGGAAGTATGAGTGGTTGTAGTGGTGGTGGTGACGGTTGTTAATGATAATAATAACTTCCGGAGGAGCTGGGACAACAGCAACAGCTACAGCAATAACACACACACACACCAGAGGGCGGAAGTTGTAGCTAAATGACTCACCAAGGAAAAAAATACCCAACGCACTCGACCGATCTATGGCAGGTGAAAAATCAAGAGCCCCCCCCCCCCCCCACACAAAAAAAAAATACAAAAGGCATTTTAAATACAACTATGAACTCTTTTTTGTATTGTCAAACACGCGCAGCACGTACGTGTACACACACACACACACACACACACTGACACTTCGCTAAGCTTGACGCCAGAATGATCCGGCGTCCGCAACAAGCAGTCTCAAGCAAAAGAATAAAGACAAGCACACTAAGTAACGCCTGGGAGCAAACACACACTCACAAGCATGTAGTAATGGTGGAGTCTTAAACACAATTTTGCCAGAAGCGTTTCCAAGTGTTTCTAGCGTACCCGAGTTATGAACACCGGGAGTTGGCAATACTGCTGGGATTATTGGTTGTAATGTGTTGGTCACACTGTGTCTGTTCCAGTGATTGTTAATATGTAAAATAACAATTGGTCGCACTACCTATTCCAATGGTAACTCACCGATGTCATTTCTCCCCTTGCTTGTAAAAATGGTTGCAGTGTTACATTACAACAACAATTATAACCAAACCTATTGGCCTCACAGACCCAACATTACCTTGAAGGATCTCCAACGACCATGAATCAGATATGTAGTTAAGATATCCTAAACTAACCTGAACGACATCTGAACTCCAATACAACACATCTTGTAACTCTCAGACAATACAAAACTTTAGAAAAACGTCAACACTCACCCTCAAAATCCGTGTAGACTTTATCCCTGACGAAGAACGCCCCGGAGCCAAAGTCTATGAGCTTAAGGGCGACTCTCCCGTGTTTATCTGTGGTGACGAGGAGATTCTCGTCTTTAATGTCCCGATGGATCACCCCGGCCATGTGGCAAGACAAGACCATCGTCACCACCTATGGAAAATAATGAAAAAAATATACAGCTGTTAGTGACTTGTTCCTTGTTACCTGTTGTTTAGTTCATCATGACCTTGATTAATGCATGATCACCTTTTGAGTCAAGTTATTGCTTACTCATGATTAGTTGCTGGTGCTCATATACTGTACTGATGATCTTTTCTTAAACACACCTGTATCATGAGGTCCCGAGCTTCTTGTTCAGGTAGGGGACCCCGTTCGGTGACGTAATCATACAGGTCCTTGCAAGGATCAGGCCGTTCTAGGATCAGAAGGAAGGAGTCGTCCCTCTCTAACCAGTCGAGAAGGCGCACCACCTGTGGGATATGTGCCACCCTCAGGAGCAGTGCCACCTCCATAGGCACTCGCTCCCCGTTTACCTGTCGGAAAGAGAGAGAACACTTGGTTAATGAATAGGTAAACAAAATCGTCTCATGTATATAGATATTTGTGAACCTGGCTGATGAGGTGAATAGTGGCAGGCTTGGTATGTATGTGTGAAAACTTAGTTGATTACTGTGTGTAAGATACGTCCATTACCACATTTGTAAACCTGGTTGAGTATATAAACAATGTTGTGTATATGTTAAAAAAAAACCCTCACCGATCTATATTTTCAAAAACAAATCGATTACGTCAACTAACATCAAACGTTTCAAGGTTCTCAACAGCTAAGGCTAGTTAATTATGTCAACAGATATCCTACAGTTAAATAGCCCAGATTATTAAACCCTATAGCACTGCAGTCAGAATCCTTCAATTTATTTAGTATATATATAAAAAATAGTGATGTATCATGATTTCTATCCTCTCACGTGTCATCAAATAACTTTCTATTTACATTCTTGACTGTCAATTGCACAAATTTCTTTACGTAAACATCAGTGAATTTGCTTAATCGACTTTTCATGTTGCACGCCGTCTTTTTCCCGTATTACATGACAGAACGATCAAGTGGCGGTGTAAACAACTAGGGAACCTTCACAGCCAAACGACAGATAGGTGAATGTCATCAACGTGTGTTCCTTGTGTTGCTCCAGCCAGCTTAAAAGTTTTGTTGTATTTCGAATGCTCAGTGATTGGAAGAAATAGAGATATAGACAGTGGAATATTAACAGAGAAACAGAATTATTGACGGAGAAACAGGGATATAGACAGAGAAACAGAATTATTGACAGAAACGGGGATATAAACAGAGAAACAGGGATATAGACAGAGACAGATAAGTTGGTAGAAGGACAGACTATAGAGTGCGGTAGATCAGTCAACTCTTGCCTCTTTGCGCTATGATCCATTATGAAAACAAACTCAGAAGATGATTATGATGACAATTCGTTTACAAACATCCTTGAAGGCTTGAGGGTCCCATTAATACTTCGCCAACGACGTCATTCTCGGCTTGCCTCGTCTCTTTTATGTATGCACTAACAATCGATCACTAATTTAAATAACTGCGGTTAAAAGGCACGTCTATCAGTCTTTTAAATGAAGGTGACATATTATCTTCTCTGGCATCTTGAGTTCGAAGGTTTGCCGCAGTGAAAGTTTAAGATTCTTTCATCTGTCATCTTCATTATTGTTTTCTATTTCATTAGTTTGGTAAGTGTGTACGTATGCACTGATGGCTGTTGAACCTGCAGTACTCCTTCACTACACATACATACATACATACATACATACATACATACATACATACATAGATACCAAATCAACCCCCGAGATAAACTGACGCAAAAAAAATCCAAAAGAAAAATAGAAAATAAAATCACAGAATCAATAAAAAAATAATAGAATAAAATGAATAAAAATAAATTTCAAAAAAAAAAAATTGTCTACCTTAAAGGAATACACAAATAAGCTTAACTTTCAGCCCAGGTTCAAGGTCGACTTAATTTTATCCATTAGGTAGATGTTACGTCACTTTATCATTAGCTCAGGGGGTCTCATAACTGACCTTTCCCGAACACCTACACCCCCACAGACACACACATTTCTAAGGTCACACTAAAGTACTGATTGACCTGTGTACCTCATAACCCAACCACATATATGAGGTTAGGTCATTGGGTAATTTGATACGTAATTTAAAGTAATAGTTACAATACGTCTTAACTAGTTGATATGAATATTTAATACAGATTTTCCATAATAAAAACACCGTGGAATAACTCATTAGCCAGCCATATGTTGTGGTATTAGTATCAGTTAAGAGCTTTGTTGGTAAGGAATAATAAGATCAGGTTGTAGTCTATTTCTCTAAGCTTTCATAGTACTTTAAAGGAACTAACTTGAGAATTTGGTTGCTGTTGTCCTGATGCTGTAATTTGTAACGCAAAGACAAATTATACAGTGAAAATTACAGGAAAGGAGACGCTATTTTGGTATGACTTAAATTCGTATTTGCTTTAAAGGAGATAAAAAAAATTAACGATTTGGTTTTAACGTAAATTATGAAACAAGTAATATGTCGCCTCGTAACTATCACATCCCTCAACAGATGTTCAGCGTCCATAAAGAGGAGACTTACGTAATAGTGTGGGCGTCTCATTCAGTGGCACTAATAGACTTCCGTATCTAGACAAGTGTTAACCTGAAATTTCATCATCACAGCGAGAAGAGAGCCAATTAATGCCCTCCATGCCACGCAGCCAATGAAACATCTCGTAAACCTCATGTTGTTGGCGACACTAGTAACCCCGAGAAGGAAGGTAGCCACTGTGTACTAAGTTTTTTTTTTTTTAATTGACTCAAAGACTTTAGCTGGTCTCGGTGGTACGTACACACACACACACACACACACACACACACACACACACACGCATGCACACTCTCTCTCATTCCTCCCCCGAGTGCGTCACGATCAAGTTATAGAACGCGTATGTGTGACTCCCTCTAGGCTTATCATATCTAAAATTCCCCAGCGTGTGACATTCTGCGAGTAGGCTTCTTAACACCCAGGTTATCTGCTTACCTGTCCTCCACCACCAATACACCTGCACCCACCTGTCACCATCACTAACTGTAAATATCATCTTCATTTCCCTTCCTTCTTACCCATTCCTCTTAGGGGCAGTGAGGAGTTACATACCCATCAACAGCTACGAGAATTGGGGGGTGCGAACGAGCGACAGTTAAAGCATTAGGCGAGTATTGTATCAACTCGTCCTCCGCACCCTTACATAATGGTAATAAGCATCGTTAAAAAAAATAGAGCGAGAAATATGTCTTTAACGATAAAGATTAATATTAATCATGAAAGTTTGTGATTTTCATTTTTAGGAATCTTGAAGTCATTAAGTGGGAAATAAAGTTAAGACGACGTTGTCAAGTTTGTTAAGCAAACTTTTATAGTTTTGTAATTAAGAGCGATTTTTTTTTAAACAGGGGTCAACAGTGTGTGTGTGTTAGTAACATTTCTACTTCGTAATATTAATAACATTACTATTTTCTTACCTCCACCTTTCCTGCTTCAACAATCATGCGTAACAGATATACGAAACCACCACAAACTGACGCACGCCACGCCCATGCACGCACGAGCTACTATACACACGTACGCCCTGTAGTCACTCACGCACCTGATATAACGGGTACACGCAACGGTACGGTGACTAAATATAGCGAATAACCTGCACCTGCCAAATACCTGTAGCGTGAGTAGAGTGTACCCGAAGTACAAGTAGCTACTTTTACCTGTCTACTGCTATGTATATATCTACCTGTTCCCAGTAATGAAATTAACCGAATAATGAACACAGGTGGAATGACCGGACCGTACAGATGAACAGATAGAGCGAACGCGTTTAATAAGCAGTGATGGCGTGAATCTACTTGTATAAGGAGATAATTTCATCAGAAGACACTGCCGAGATGAGAGACGTCACTAACCTTAAGCTCCTAACCCCCCCCCCCCCTGTGCCGGACGAACGAGTGCCGAAGGAACGTGTGTCGGATGAACGAGAGTGCCGGACGAACGAGTGCCGAATAAACGTGTGTCGGATGAACGAGAGTGCCGGGTGAACGCACATCAGGTGATTCGTTGGCTGCGCACTTAGCGGGGAGTAAAACGTGCGTGACGGACTTAACCGCTGGCAGATGTATCGGAGGAAGAGGAGGAGAGGTAGTGGCTGAGAAAGAAGAGGAAGAGGAGAGTTAGGAGGATGGTAATGATGGTGGAGGAATGGGGAGAAAAGCAGCAGTTGTAACTAGAGGCAGTGAACGATGGAGGAAGATGACGAGGAGGAAGGTGGTAATGGTGATGGAGGAGAGAAATGTAGTAAGGGGAAGAGACAGGAGTGATACTGTAGAAGAGAAGACAACGGGGGAGAAAAAAAAAAGGGAATAGGAAGCCGAGGAGAAACAGGAAGAAGAACAATAACTAGAAGGAGGAGGAGTTAAGAGTGCTAGTGGTGGAGAAAGAGGAAGCGGTGGTGACTGGATATGGTATAAAAAAAGGAGGTCGTTGCTAGGCGAGGAGAAGCGTCATAATCGCCCTGACACCAACAGATTGTAAACAAACGCCCCTGTCGCGTCGTCCCCTGAGCGAGGCAGTGGAGAAAAAAAAACATCAACACCAACTTCTCGGGATCAGCATAATGATGTCACCACAACAACAACTTTCCCTTACACTCTAACAAACTAATTGGCTTGTGTAGTCTCCTCTATGTCGCCACCCAGCTTACTATGACTATTCTCTCTCTCTCTCTCTCTCTCTCTCTCTCTCTCTCTCTCTCTCTCTCTCCAAAATGAGGTCCACCTCTGGCCATCTGTCCACACCAGAACCAGCCACGCGTTACGACGTTTATATTTAGAACAGGTGCAAGGAAGGAATGACAGCAGGAGTGGGAGTAACAGCAGCAGCGGCAGGAGGGAGGAGGAGGCTACAACAGCAGCAGCAGGCCCTGAAGCACGACGCCACCCATCACTACCCGCACGACGATCACCTGCTGGTAGAGCTGCCGTCGTCTCCGCCACCTGCCGCAGCCGTCACCATCTGGTTTACGTCAGGTGCCAGCCAGACTAATCCCTCGAGTGCGACGACCCGACGCCTCCAGGGAGACTTAACGCCTCGAGTACGATGATATTAATCTTGAGTACAACGACCCACAGCCAGGAGTGAGTTAACATTATTCCTCGAGTACGACCACCTGAAGTACAACAACACTAACTCTCGAATGTGATGATCTAGCCACTTAAGATCGGCGGTGAACCTCTTGAGGAAGATGAGTTACCCTCCTTGAGGGTTTTATGTCCTAACCAGCCGAGTACTCGTGTGATTACTCTATTTCTGAGGTAATTCTGGTAAATGTCAGCCTGGATACAAGAGCACAGGTGACTCCCTCCCTCTCATTCACTTTGAGAATACAATACGTTGTACTCATGCTGTTAAGAGTCGAATACAACTGGCGCATCCTTGAGGGTATGGGAGCGAGGCAGCTGGAGGTCCCCGGAGCTAAGTGTAGGTCTTCCACGTGTCGCTTATGTGAAGAATCTTTAAAAGCCAAACTGAGTGAAAAACTTACTCAAGGTCTTGTAGGAGTTGCGATAATTTTGTGGCTAACACTTGTATAAAAAATAACCAAACACTAATTCAGGTGTACTGTCTACGCTCATTGTAAAAAAAAAAAAAAGTGGTGCCCCGTTGGTAAACCTACACGACGCAACACAACCAGTTCCTCGACTTTGTTACTTACCTCTGTAACCAACCAACCACTCATCGTGTTTGCACCTGTCAGCGTCAAGGTAAACTAGTAGGAGACACTCGTCGAGACTGGACATTCACGAGCTACAGCATGAAAATGAAGTTGTCTAGACCCCCCAAGACAGCGTAACAACCCCTGCACACACACACACACGTCTCCCCTGCCGTTACGTGGAATGTTGAACGCAAACCAGACGACGTCACACACAGGTAACACGCTGTTATTCGCCCTCTCGTTTTCTTCACCTTCTGCAGGTGTACGAGGACAGGTGTGGGGTTGTTATTCCGGCCTCTAAGCACCTACCCCGGAAGATTCCCAGCCTTCCGAAGGAGTGTGGTGAGGGAACCTTCGTGTAAGACGCCTTCAGGAGTGTTCTGGTATTCGGGCCGAGTCACACACACAAATACACCTAGAAAGCTGTTGAAATCCTCGCCCCAGGATGGCCACATCCGTACTGCGGAGCACCTGCACACCATCCATTGCCTAGATATTACACAAGGCAAAGAAAAGAAAGAGAGAATGCACTACAATAATAAAAGAAAGTGAGGTAGGTGAAGACGAAGAACGGGGAAATGCACAGGAGACAGAAACAAAGGCAAAGAGTGGAGGAAATGTGAGGAAGTAAACGAATGAAAGAATAAGAGAAGGATGGGGGGAAAGAGGAGAAACATGTTTAATATCGCACGACGACAGATTAAAAGACTCACAACACACCCAAGTGGTCAACAGGCGGCGCACCAAGTTAGGAGAGCGCAGATGACCTTAAAGGTACAATCCCATACATAACCTAGTAACGAGTGCCTTACACCGTCCACCACAGCGCCATAACAAAAACTGTTCTACGCTGCTACGCCTCCGCTCATCTTTAACACTTGGGGGTTCCATCTTTTTTTTTTGTTCTTCATTAAACTGTTCTAATGTTCTCAAGGTGATCCCATCGAGTGATAGAGATATACCGCTAGAATTTCCCGCCCTAGATTTCTTAAAGGTGCGTTGGTATAGCGGGGTTGGCCTCGGCATACCTTGCTCAAGGCGGCCGAGCACAGCTGCCACATGTACGATACCTACACACACACACACACACATACACACTATCACCGTTTTCCCCCCGTTTTGATACGCAATGATCGTCGTGGTTGTAACATAATCACCAGAACAGCTATTCCTTGTACGTCTAGAGTCACGGAGTTACATAATAAGCCGAGATTGACGGATCTATGGCGGTGAAACACAGGGAGGAGGAGCGAGGCGTCAGCTGAGCCACGTTGTCAATGTCCGCATGACGCAAGATCAGCCCCATGCCGTCTATGCCGAGCAGGTGCATCAAGCACTACACCTGCCTCCCCCTACTCACCTGCCTTTACCTGCGTCGAGGTCACTGGCAGGGAGGAACTAATGGCCTCCAGGACGTCGATGTAAAAAAAAATCGTAGCTTAACAGTGTTGGGGAGAGAGAGAAGGTGGAGGAGGGAGGAGGCCGGAACTGGATCTCCGGCAAGAAACTCTTATTACTTTCTCTTTCAAAGCGAAAGTCATCGTCGAGGGAAAACAACCTGGTGCCATGGACTGGATGTTTGTTTACGTCTGCAAGGCATTTTAGTCACACTCGGGCTTTTGTTCTCATTTTGATTTGCAGAATGACTGAATACGAATACTGACTATTACGTAATTCAGGGGTTTCAGGTGAACAGGTGACACGGCTATATGGTATGGCAGCCGTAATAGGATTCCACGGCATTACAACCCATATTAAAGGCTTTACAACGTCGCTAATCAAATTAAAGGGTTTCTAACACCGAACCTATGGAAGAGTCGAACATACTTTGAACATATACTTTGATATATATGTTTCCGAGTCGAGTAAGAATTCCTTAAAGTCTAATCTCACTTCTTCCTTCTTCTTCCTACACTCTATCTTTCCTCAATATCCCATTCCCTGCGCCCCTTCCTCCTGTCCCCTTCCCCTCTTTACCCAACTCCCCCTTCTACGACCTCCGCCTCGGTGAGCGTGGCGTGTTAGGTCTAGTCTAGGCTTATATTTCCCGCGTTATAGAGCACATCCAAGGTTGTGGCCTACTTTCCAGAGGATTGTGAGGATCTCTCTCCAAGTTACAGTTTAAGTACCTTATGGATGTATCCTATAACTCATACGATACAGTTAGACGTTACAGTGTTTGTCTTAGTTGTAGGCTACATGTCTTTCAGTTGTAAATTTGTTACACGCTGCCACAAGATTCAGGAGTTTTTTCCTTCTTTTATTTTTTGCCCACAGAATAGTATTGAACTTTTTAGCCTTTAGGTCTTCGTAAGGACTTTGTACCTCGGGCAATTTAAGCAATTCAAAGTAACAAGTTAAACCAGTTTACACAACGTATGGCTACAGTTTTCAAGATTTTATGTGAAGAATTTTGTTTTACACGTTTCATTTTGTTCTCCTCAGGGTTGTGGCCTGATTATTGTTATTGCCTACGTCTCTCCCTCTTGTGCCCGACCACCGGGGTCAGTGACACCACCTAACAGTGCCAATTACTTCTCTCGTCATAAGGTTTCCGTCTGTCTCCATTGAGAGGACGCAACACCACCACATTAACAGTAGCTGCCTCTATGTATGCCAGGGAGAATATTTTAATTTAAGTGTCGTAGTGGATAGTACGTATACAGTACACACTTGTTTCTGGATACTGTAATGTTGTTGTTGTAGGAAACTGTGTGTTATGTTGTATGCTCTTCACCTCAGTTTTTGAACACTCGACTTTGCCTGAGGTTTAGGAAAATTAGTCTAAAAGCTGAGGGAATGTTTAAAAGAGTTTTGATTGTCTGGGTCTAAGTCATACCTAAACATAAAGATGAGTGAGAGGTAATTAAGAAAGGTGGTGGTGAATACAGGTAAGAGCTGTCTATAACAACATAAACAACAAGATCATCAACACTTACCACACCCCAGGCGGGCACTCGGTTCTTGGCTATGAGCTTGATGGCTACGGGCGCTCCGTCCTTCACCCTGGTGCCGGCGTACACGGTGCCAAAGCCGCCCTTGCCCAACACCTTGGAGACCACTTTACCCCTTTCGTCCACCGTTTTATCTAGACGGTAAAGAATTTCTCTGTCCGGACCTCCACCTCCTCTTCCTCCCCCTCCTCCACCTGGTCCACAACCTCGCCCATTGCCTCCTCCACCGCAGGGGGAGTGACTGGGGGGCCTGGAGGTGGAGAAGGGACTGTTGTGGCGACACAGGTGCGTCGTGGTGGAGGTGGTGGGAGAGTGGTTAGGAGTGGTGGTGATAAGGTGGTGGTGATGGGTGGTGTGGTGACCGGTTGTGGTACTGATGGTGTGACTGGTGGTGTTGTGGCTGCTGGGGCTGTGTTGATCCCGACCAACTGTGAAAGAGAAAAACACAATAATTAGATCATTCTCATTTAAAAAAAAATATATTTACAACGTGAAGTAAAAGAAGAATTTAAAGCCCTAAACACACGTGAGATAAGTAAGGAGGAGTTAACAGATTTGCCACACAACATAAACTTTCATAACCAAAAGGCGATTCGTAGCTACATACTTCCACAAGAGTCAAGTGGTCAGCAGGTTTACCAAGAAACGTAACCATTTGTAATAACCCCGACACAATGAGATTGTGGAGAGAGAGAGAGAGAGAGAGTGGGGGGGGCTATCGAGACTGTAGTAATAGATCAATACAGAGTGACGGGAAGCGTTGTAGGCGGGATGGGACCTCCTCCTGCTGGCTCACTCACTCATCTGATACTCTCGGTTTGACAGTCATCTCCCTCCCTTTCACAGGCCTATAAGAATCACCATTTCGAAATACGAGTTTGGGTTTTTAATGAGTTGCCGAGAGTGTACGGCATTCATTCCGCGACGCAATAGGCTGGCGGTGCCGCGATCAGCTGATGCTTGCGTGTCCTACTTTCGAGTTAGGTTGGGCTGGCATCCCCCTTCACCTGCCTACCCGGCCCCCTACCACATCACCTGCCTTCCCTACCACACCACCTGGTCCCCCTACCACACTACCTGGTCCCCCTACCACACCATCTGTCTAATTATCACGTTAACTAAACCAACGTGGTTCCGGATTACTTCGTTGTATTAATTTTCGTGAGAAGTTCGTAGTAACTCATTGTGGTGAAAAACACCCATGATAGTACAGTACTTGTATTTCAAACGGGCTTTTTATTCACGCTGGTTAAAAACTTGGAGATTGTTTTCGTGTCGCATCCCTTTAAAAGAATGATAATTAATTCGTTTTTGTATATTACTGTTTACTTCAGTGGATGGAAACGTCCTTCATCATCACAGGTTAAAACAGGGAGCCACTGGTGACGATAACCTTGGTGTAGCACAACCATGTCGTCACTACAGGGAGGGAGGAATTCATGTTTAACATTTAATCACAAATGTGAGAAGGAGCCCTTTACTAGCGAGCGACATTTAGCGAGGGTGACCCACTCCACTGAGCCAGAGTCGACAAGAACCTTCTGCACTGGTGAATTCTGCTGACCCAGTTTCCCGAGGCTGGTGGCCCTCACACCCACCACACCTCTTCCTCCTCCTCTCTTCTCCAATGTAAACATTCCCTCCTGCGGCTGTTCGTCACACACACACAAATAGCTGTCACCTACATCCACGTCACCTGAATCTCTTGCCTAAACCTTATCTATATCAATCTTTATCAATCCTTCCACACAGGTCCACTATCCACACATACTCCACCACCTCCACCTGGCTCCTGCTCGTTACCTGCGCTGGTGAATGAGGTAAATGAAAGCGAGTGTCTCACAGAGCGTCACAACACGTAGTTGCTGGCATAATTATTCACTCGACCTTATTTGTTTTTGTATCTTTGTACTGCCGTGTATATATTTGTGTGTGTGTGTGTGTAAGCTATCCTAACACGTCACTTCCACCTCAAAAGAAATTTTCCTCACTTCCTAATTCGATTTGCTGATTTTCCCTCAAGTTCCCAAGTTTTAAAATGGTTAGTTTCCGTGCACAACTTCTCCGTGAGTTTTTATGTACCAAATTAATAAGTGAGTGAGGCAGATGTTCTTAATATCAAGGATATCTGTTACACGCTGGCTGCTGGGTTTGTGTACATATATGGAGTGTTTATAAGTGGAGTCCTCAACCCACATTTGGCTTTACTCGTTACCACCCAGTCTTACTCCATCTAATTCATTCTCCATACCTACCCTCCCCCCACCTCCCTCCACTCAAGTTTTACTCTCTCCTCTTCTTACTCCACCGGCTTCACTCATATTTCCCTCTTTAGCTCCCACACACACACACACACACGACTATTACTGATCGTAGCGAAGTGAAGAGGGAGTTCCTACAAGCGTCTTCAAGCTCCTCATAGTCAAGTATTAAAGATGACTGTCTGGGTTATGAGGGATGCAGTTACTGAACGACATACTCATCTTAGGAGCAGCTCTGGGCCGGCTCTCGCGTGGTGTGTAATATTGATTATACTCGAGACTACTATGCTGCTATATGGAGACTCGCCCAAGGCACTGCAGGCTCCCTAGCGCACAGGTGTTGGTGGCTAGACTCGTTTATAACCACTGACTACAACCTCATATGTAGTCGGGTAGTGTTTATTGGTTACGTAAGTCATTTATCAGTATATTAGTTTATATTTATCTGCACTAATCCCGCCAAATATATTCTTATCCGTATTACCGCAGAGCAACACCACCACCACCACACTACTGACCTGACCCACCACACTCACACGCCGGAGACACCTACCTACCTACCTACCTGTGCCTAATACTGTCATTATATACCTGAGCATCTCCCCTCCACTTTTTCCTCGTTGGCCCCCACATAGCAACAAGGGCACCCTGCCCCTGCCCACCCGTCTACCCCAACCAATTGGCCAATATATCTCGGACAGAGGCAGACTACTGAGCCAGACAGACGCAAGGTGAGCCGCGGAAGGAGGGTGGAGGAAGCAGTGGAGAGTTGGGAGGTAAAGGAGGGGGAAGCGACGGTAGGGAGGGGGGTGAAAGCCCTTCTCGCCTCAACCATCACCTCCTGCACCATCAGGAGTAAAAGTTCTAAGGAATCATCTTGCCTTGGTTGTACACCCCATCGTTTATATACTGTACCTGTACTGTCCATGTACCAGAGAACTAAGCTTTTGAGATCATGGACTTCTGTCTTTCTAGAGTCTAGAGGGAGACGTCCTGTTTCCGAAAATCGTCTTGGGATTTTCGGGACAATTCATTCCTATAAAGAGCAGGACGAGGAGAGCGTACAGGGAAGGAAGGTCATGAGGAGGGAGACGACAGGTGAGGATGGAAAAGGGTAACAGGGATTGGAAGTTGTGTGTGGTGAGGCCAGACAGGAGACACACACACACACACACACACACACACACACACACACACACACACACACACACAACCACACACACACAACCACACCCAATGACAACAACCGTGTGTAAACTCGTAAACGTCCGTCGTCCAACACTAGACCACATTGGGATAGCTTTCGCGTCCCTAACCTCCCTTCTTCTTCCCTTTCTCCAACCCACTCACCCTCCTCTTCCCCACCTCCAATCCACTCCCCAATCCTCCTTGTGTCTTGACGCTATCCAACTGTCTTGTCATTACAATAAAATAACAATCCGCACCATAGATAAAGGAAGAAAAAAATGGGGGAAATTGAGCCTCCTTGTCAATTACTCTTGTGCTATTCTCTCTCTCACGGCCTGAGGAAATAACATAGTTACTATAAACCTCGTCTGAGCCCACGGGGGAACGTATCATCCAGCCAGCCATACTATTCAGGTCAGCTTGTTTTCCGGGTGGGGGTCGATGGCGGGAGAGGGGATAGTTTAGGTGGTGGGGGGGGGGGGGCTGTTGAGGTGGGTTCTGTGGTGTAGTGGTAAAGTAAAGTTGGAGGATGATGGTAGTGGCATTTTAAGGAAGATTAGTGGCGTAGCGGATGAGGAGGGAAGGGAGGTGAGAGAGACGGAGGGGAAGAGAGGAAGGAGAGAGACAGAGGGGGTGGGGAAGGGAGGAATGAGAGAGAGAGAGAGAGAGGGGGGGTGGGGAAGGGAGGAGTAAGTGTGGAAGAGGGAAAATACTGACACTATGAAGGGGGGGAGGGGGCAGGAACGACAGTAGGTTGTGAGATAAAGAAAGGTTTAATTTAACATCTCGCTGAGAACTTAATAATTAGCGAAGGAAGAACAAATCTCATTCAAGCCATTCGCAAGAGACTAACAACAATATAATTAACCTGAACTTCATTAGATATGCATTATTCATAGCTACGAGTGCATTCTACTTTCTATCTATATTCCGTTACCTCATCTACATTCCTTGGCTCCATGGGCACTGTACCCTCCGCTTCCCTCACTTCCACCCCTTCACCCTCTAACTCTGTGCATTCCACCTTCTCAATATACACTTCACTCCCTTTGCCTAATGCATTCTGCCCACCATCTCACCCTAACCGTTGGTGCGTCATATCACCAGCCTGTCCTTGCCCCATAGGCTTACCACTCCTATCTATCTACCTACCCTCACCTATTCTTTCTCCATCCTTGATCATATCTCTCCTTTCTTCATTCTCATCGCTTCTTCCTCCTCCCACTGTGGCCCTTTTTCAAATTTTCTTCGTCTCTTACCCCTATTTATGTTTCTCTTCCCTTCTGTGTTTCATTGCCCCCGTCACCTCCCCAATACAGTCTCCCCTCACCGTCCTCTCATACGCTTCCCTCCCCTTCCGCTCTTAGGTAACCTCCCCCATCAGCTTTATTGGTCAGGAGGTCAGGTGCGCACTTCCCCTACTCGTTTACACACACACACGCACGCCGCACAAACACACGCACGCGCACACATACACACGCAGGCTCACATTTCCCTTTCAGCGACTGTAAACACCATTGGTCAGTCAACATTTCCACCTTTCATTTTCCTGGATATTGTGCAACACTCACACCTCTTAGATACAAGAGACTAGAAAACATTACCAAGTAGTAATTGCTGGGTAAGTTAGGCGAGTAACGTGCACTTATGGCGTAGTTACTTGTGAGGGGTGAAAGAGCCTCCCCTTCCTTCCTGTCCATTCTACAGTCACTCTTTTCCATATCTTTACCCCCATTAATTATCCTTTCCATCTTCTTATCCTTGTCTCAATAACATTATCATTTTGCGTTTTGGTCTTTCCCTTAAATCTCCACCTCTCACACCCGTCAGTCAAGTTGTTCCTCTACTTACCACACTCTCACCTCCGTCAGGGTGTTCCTCAACCATTTAAATACCAGACGTCCCCACCCAGTCCCTACCTGAGCCAAGCCACCACTACTACGACGCAAGAGCTGCCGCCACCCACCAGCCGCCACTTAGTAATGTCTTTCACCTCAAGGAGGAGGCGGGGGAGAGACTGAGGGGACGCAGGGGGAATAAAGAAAAGGAGATAAGAGGAGGGAACGAGTGATAAAGAAGGAAGGAAGTAAGGGAAGGAACGAGAGAGAGAGCGAAGGCGGGGGCGCTGAGGGTGGACGTAAGGAATGAGGGGTGGGAAGACTGGGGGATGAGTGGTGGGGGGTTGGAGGGAGGTGGGGTGTGAACAAGAGATAGAGGGCATAATAAAATAAGTTACTCAATGGCAAATGTTTATAGTTGTGTAATACACACAGGGCATGCGTAGCTCTTATTCCTGACATTAATAGACAAAAAAAAATATCCCTATAACCTTTCTAACATGGGTTCAGGTGAATCATGAATGGAAGAGTTAATAAATAAATACACCTGTATAATCGTGTTTCCCTATCAAATCATCTTCGTCCAATAAGTCCAGAGATATTCAGATTTGTACTGTTAACCATCTCGACCCACCTTAGTCAACCCTCTGGGCACAGCTTACGTGTAGTCATCCTCTGGTGACACTGTAAACAAACTTTCCTACTCGTTGTTTTGCTCCGTAAGACTTGACAGACCATTCAGGCGGTCGGTTGGTAAACACACTTTTAGATACACCGAACATTCAACTTAAATCCAGGTGGTATATACAGTACATATCAGGTGCTTTTAGCCTTACACAACAACACTCATAATACAATAAGACGTCTGATTCCCTGTGCATCGTTAATGTTTATTTATATTTGATCTGGTGGAGAGCTGGAGATCATACCAAGACAAATAGCATAAACAGTCAAATCATGAGGACAAATCTTGGTTACTTCTTTTGGGTGAATAGTTGATACTACGTTGTTTACAAACAATACTTACAACGTCACCTGGATCCTTGGGGGGCGGGAGGGTAGCATCAGTACTGGGGTGAGGTGTGGAGGGGGATAAGGGGGTGGAGTAGTGCGTTGCTGTTACTGCAATATTTACATTTTCCTCAAAGTGGAGGTGTTGCAATACTTTCCCTATTCCTTTGGAGAGGAAGAGACTGGCGTTACCTGCAGGTTTAAGCTTTGTGTATCGAGAAAACTGGAGTGACAAACACTCAGCTGTTTTTCTTGATAGAACTGGGGGAGATGGCCATTTACTCTCGTCTTTAAGAGGCTGAAGCGATAAATGTTTCGTAAGAACTAAAATGACTGTTAATGTGGGTTTGACTCTCGAAATAAAACAGCTATCCCACTTTCTTTAAACTAGTGGAATACCAAATCATGTACGTGTACATAGTATTTAGATACATAGTATTAGAAGTTAGATACATAAAGGTGACTAGTTGTTGATGGGGACCCAGGAGTACGTTCTTACTGTGGACGTCACCAATACTTGTATAGATTTGTACTAGAGAGCAGTTAAGAGTTGTCTTGTGTCATCACTGACCACATCACCCTCAACACACACCCAACACCCCATAAGGTCCCTCAGACTCCATTGTGATAAAATAGGTCAACAACTGACCCTATTTTGTCAGGGGAGCAACTGTGTCACACGAAGGGGGTAAACTGCGTTGTTCTGAGAGGCACGACCACAAGGCGTCCCAACCTTCGACCACTCTGCAGTCGTCTGGTTTGTTGTGGTTCTCTGTATTCTGCAGGAATTACCTCTGACAGGAAAAGTTCCAACCTGTGACATAATCCTCATACAAGTGAGATAAAATTGCTTCACTCCTCAACTCGTTATAAGCCAGGTAGGCATTGCGCGTAGCAATGCATCGCTTCTCCAAACGAACAAAATTTAACATGTGACCTCCTGACCTACAATATAACAATCAATGTCTCACTGGCTGGCGTCTGCGTGGGTACACCCAGAGTCTAAACGCTTGATTTTATTGTTTTTTGGGGCTTGGTGAGTATACTGCTCATTAGCCTTTCGCAGGCAAATAACACATCCACCTAGGCCCTGAGGTCTTGTGCCAACAGGGGCGGTGACTGGCAACCATTATTGTCATCAATGTCGCAACGACCTATTTAATTTGAACCCAAATATGTTTCGTCCTTGAGCAAACACAAGCGATTTCTCGTGGGTTGTGATTCCATGTTTACAGAGGAACCTTAAAAATATCTTCCTATAATGTGGCTTAATATTAACAGCACTACTGACTACATACGTCTAGAAAGCACTCATCACACATTAATTATACATGTTCCACTTGACTGTGTAAATGGCACTCACTTCCGTTGTAAATAAATTGCTGCTCTGATTTCAGTATGATGTTTCTGTAATCTCCTGGTTGTTGCTTGACTCAACACTACATCATTATGGAGAACTCTGGAACAACTGTCACACACAGGATGGAATAAGGAAACATCAATGGAGGACTTACCGTTAGGCACTGGCTTCGGTTTGGACCTGTCAACTGGGAGCGGGAGGTTTGAATTTTGAGAGAAGACATTGAACACTCTCTGCATAAACATTTTGATAAACGTTGAGTTATCCACGAGCGATGCTTCACTCCTTAGACAACCAAGGTAATGGGTATCACTGTACTACCCTTCCGATTAAAGTAAATCCGAAATGGATACTCCATATGGGTATGTTTACATTGACAAGGTGCGACGAGAATATGCAATACCCGTCCTCACTGCACCAAGTCTAGATTACTACTGAATGTTTTGGAGTCGACTTACAACCTTTCACTGTATCGTTGCGCCAGCAGGAAAAGCCCGCGGATCAACTGCCGGAATGAGAACAGCTTGTTTTTATCTTCTATTCTCGCTTTTTAGTGGATAAATTTGTGATATTATTGTTTAGAATCTTACATTATAATAAAACAGCCAAAATTTAACACTTCATGCCCTCCAGTTCCTACATTCTCGCGAAAAAAACATTATGGGAACTACTTCCTCACGTGGGCGTAATGTTTACGTCCCTGGTCCTGCGGTTGAGAGGCTATATGACGTCACAGGTTTGGCCCGCGCGGTGAGAGAAGGTCTCATGAAATCCAATGCCACCTGACTTGGCTTGTTCTCGTCTGTACAGGTTGCATCACTCTTTAAAACTGGCGATATATAATACACTGAAACATAATATATATGTTAATCAAAATACGGTTTCTTCCTTTCAATTTGAAGAAGTCGTGAACAGCGACCATATTGTTTCTACTCAGAAACTGACGCAAAGGAGAATCTGGCATCTATACTGGGCCGCGCATGCGCCATGGAGATGCCACGACGTCAGCATTAACAGCTCTGGCAATCCATATTTATCTCGAAGTTTGAGCGACAAACGGTCGTAACGTTCGTGAGAATATAAGCAAATAAACGTTCAACAATGTTTGTAGATAGGTCGTTGCTTATATCCTGTAGATAAATACAACAGACACTTATTAATACTGGCCAGGAAGCTGAGAGACATCAGCTATAGTTGTGAGGAAAAAGTTGTATTTCTAAAACATCAATACTCGATCAATGCAATTGTCAAAGGTGTCGAGTTTTGCCGTAGACTATTACACCACCTGACGCCCACCTGGTCTGGTGGCCGGGTTGCGTCACTGAGTTATGTTTTGTTTTGAACTGCAGCGGCTGTTACCCAGCTTCACTGTGGCGCGTCAGCAGGTTATTTTAATGTTAATTAATGTCTCTTACCAGACACGTGGCCACACTCTCATATATATACCGGTTATTATTTAAGATAAGAAATTATGTTACTTAAATTATCCAGTATTGTTCAAATATTATTAAACATATTTTACTTTATTCATTCTTTAAGGATCAGATTTATGTTAACATTTCATTGCATAAGTTACAGAGGCATTAATAATTTAATTAAAAAGGACTACACCAATTACCCCAGGGAGGGGGGTCGTTAATGGCGTCCTTACCTGACCTACTTTCCGTGTGTCAAGCAAAAGGATAAGATAAATTAAAAGAGTAATATTTTTGATACGTATCGATATTATTATTATTATTAATGTTATTATTATTTCTTATTATTATTTTCATTGTTATTATTATTATTAATTCTCACACAGGCGGGGTTAAAGAAGTAGTCGGTCAATGCCGTCTGTTTACATAACAACCTATGTAAGTTGGCGGCATAACTCGGGAGCAGACAGAGCTATGTTGTTCACACTCGGTATATTTACTCGCCGTGACAACTCTTACAGCTGCTATGTTTTGTGGGAGTCCAGAGATCAAGTTACAACCTTGACAAGGCAGCGCACTGTGTGATCCGGCAACTTGCCCGAGTATAGTTTTAGTATTACAATGTGTGGGATTGTGTATAAATAAATGCTCATTTGTCCGCCACCAATCACCTAATACGAACCCTGAATACAGTTAATGACGTCGTTTGTTTGAGTTACGAATGTATGGATCAGCCGTGTAATGCAGAAATAACAGCTTTTACCATTTCCCTGACATCTGTCTTCTCTATCGGTACGGTACAGTATATGGGTGTCTATCATGGTACAACACTCCTCAGAGTCTAAAAAAGTATAAATTTATTATAGTTCGTTGTATATTTTATGCCATTAACCAACAACAGCATTGCAGGTATATAGACATCAGAGTCAGCAAGTTAATTAATAAATATAAATACTAATTAATGAATAAAATACAGGTACAGTCAGTCAGTCATGCCGATGTGATGACTGTATCGCAAAGATGGTGTATTATTAATCTAGTTTACGGGTAGAAATGTATTTATACACACACACACACACAGACACACACACACACACACACACACATTCCTCGTGACTAACATGCGGTTATACATATCATCTACACACAGGAAGTACACATAATAGTTTCACTCACACTATTTGGCAAGACACTTGTATTGTAATAGGCGGGTACGCAGTAAATAGTGTTCACTGCGTGGCAACTTAGCGGCTTACAATCATGTCACACGTCAGCTTTCAACACGTGGCGGCAAGCGAGAGGGAGTGAGTAACGCAGCAACCTTCAAAACATGGCAAGACAACGCAGTAGTCGCCATCATAGTTACCTTCGAACCGTGGATGGCAAATCAGTGGCGACGGGGTAACCTTCAACATGGCAACCTTCACTTTGTGGCGGCACAGGAAGTTTGTGTGTGTGTGTGTGTGTGTTTATGCTAATTTACACACGCATGAAGATACTCCTGCAAAAGTTCACACACACACACACACACACACAAAACGGAAGGGAGAGAGTGTCATGGAGTATTCAGTGGAATGAACTGGTGGTATTAGTACTCACGTAAGGAAGTGTCATTCATAGTGTATGTGTGTGTGTGTGTGTGTGTGTGTGTGTGTGGAGGCAGGTGGCGGTAAACCCCTGTTGTACCTCCAGAACACGCTCACACTATAACACACGTGACCTCTCCTAGCAATTTCCACACCTTCACTGAGACTGTTTTATTCTGTGTGTGTGTGTGTGTGTGTGTGGTCATGTAAATAAATGCACATAAGCCACTGTCATCGTATTTACACCATACTTTTGTTTTACACATATAGGTATGTTTTAAATATAATTTTTTATTAACTTAGTCATCTTTAGTAACTATCGACCTCAAAAGTGAAGGAATCATTTACGTAACCCGTTAAGGACGGACGTACTCACTGGGTTAAGACATCGTACTTCAGCGGGTCAAGATATCGTACTCAAGGGTTAAAATTCAATTGTGTTATCTAGTGTGAAGCGCGACACACACAAACTCACAGACGTCCCTCGTAGTACAAACAAATATAGGATACCGACGCAGTGAGTGGAGGATGAGTGTTATTATTGCCTGAGTAATATATTGACACTCATAAACTGATGCTATCAACGAGTCAACACAATCATGATGCAGTTCAGTCTGTGTGTGTGTGTGTGTGTGTGTGTGTGTGTGTGTGTGTTTCAGAACCACTGGGTGCTAGAAGGGAGGCAGTGAGCTAACAGTCGCCGTGGTGGCGGCAGGCAGACAACCTCTAGTTGTTGGCTGGGCCTTTCCCCCCCTGTCCTGACCCGTCTTCTTTCCGCCCCACCCCGCCCCGTCCTGCCCCGCCCCGCCCCGTGCTGGGAAATAACCATGGTGACAAACCCTCACCCCCCCTAGCTGGACCCATGATGAAATACATCCTCCCAGCTTTTCTTATCATGCTCTCCTCTCCACACTGTATACGGTGGTGTAACCGACTCTCCCTCTCCCTACTTATTCTTGTGTTGTCGTCTACTGTGACATAATATGGCCCCTTCTCTCCCCCTTCCTCCCTCCACCCTTAAGGTTAATGTACCTTCTAGTTTATGGCAACATGACCCCGGCCTCTATAGCACAGCGATGTTATATTCTACCACTAGTGAGTAAGTCATCGGACCCTAAAGTATAATTTTCAGCTGTTTTATGGTGTTTCTTCTCTACGAAGACAATACTGTACAGATTTTTAAATCAACTTCATCTCACAGAGAAAGTTTGATATTCATAAGAAAGTGAAAAATATATTAAAATTTTTTTTTAGGATTTTCTTATTTTCACTCAAGCAGACTATCTTAGGTGTCCTGAGCTATAGCGTCACGCGAGGGCTGTCAACACACCTTATCATGAGTCAAATACGGAAATCGGTAAACAACAAAGGAGTCGTAATAAAACATTTAACACCAGGATGTACTAATTATTAACTAAACAAACAGTATGAATACAACAAGTTAAACAGACAATAGCTTGAGCCGTAAGACTGGAGAACACACCAGGAAGGAATCTTTTACGTTAAAAGCAGGAATTAGACCAAATATTTATGTCTAGCGTGAGGCTGAATAAGCTTGTCCTCCTGCAGGTTGGTGTGAGTGTTGCAAGGAGGGGGGGACGCACGAGCGGCCACCAGGCCCGGGTTATTTCCTGTGTCGCAGTGGCCACCTGGCAGCCACAAACTTCACGCGGGCGTAAACGTGGGTTTTCCAGACCCAGCCGACCGAGGCGCTGTGCCGTCTCTGTTTGTAAACAAAAGGCGGCCATCTTGTATGTGGAATTATGGAATGACAAATGATGTTGTACTATTATATAATCGTTTTTAAGTGACGAGATCAAAGCGGATAACCTGAAGAATCGCTCTTCAGCTGATTTCCCCTAATTAACCTCCCTAGCGCTAACTTAACCTAACCAAACCTAATCTAACCTAACCTAACCTAACCTAACCACACCACTAAGGTAACCAGTAATATCTCTTCCTCATTCCTAATCACATGACCAAAGTATTTTATTTTCTATATTCTATAATTTTCCAGTATTTTTCTCTCGTTGCTGTAGCGAGTTTCTCTATTTTATGACTCAAACAATTGTACTACGTAATCATTTACTGTATTACATTTCATCAGCCTTTTTTTTCTCAATCTAGGTACATTTAACACTGAGAATCTGTATTTTCTTCACTCAGTTCTTATTTTAATGCCTTCTACATCTACCACCACAACTTATGTTTTTCCCCCAAGTGCTACAAAAAAAAAAAATCCCACGTGTTTAAATTTCCGATTGCTTAGTATTTTCTCATTTTAGGATTTATTTTTAACTTGGAAATAACCAATGAACGTGTCAATACCACATTAACTCTAAACCATCTTTTTTACTTTGGCTACACACACACACACACACACACACACACACACACACACACACACACACACACAAATTATCTAACATCACTTATCATGAACT